TGAATAAGAGTTGAGGGTTGTGTAAGGCTCCCACTCTGAGGCCCAAGCTCCATTGCTGAGCTATTTCTTAACCTTTCCTAAAACCCTTTGTCAGTAACCGGCCTGACAGTAGTTATAAGTTGCCACTCTTTCAACATGCTGTACTTGAAGATTAATTCAGACAGTTCTATAATGTTTTAAAACTCAATTCACAGCAGAACATGTTTGCCATGGAAAAAATGTACAATACAATAATATGGAAAAACCTTACCGTCAAAAATAAAATGCACATCATTTAGCCACCAAGAGTACTATATGGTTCAGGATGAATGAATTCATTGTAACACCCTCTATATATTCTAAAAATGTTCACGCAGCAGAATGCCTAGTTAAGAAGTGGGAGAAAATGGGAATTCCTTTATTCATGAAATTTTTGTAAATGCAATGGAAAGTGGCTGCTCTTCATTTGGCAAATTGTGATAGCAGCAAGTCATTACAGTGGTGAGTTGTTGCAGCAGCAACTTCTACCTGCGGTGACTTATCACAGCAGCAAGTTAACACTGCGGCAAGTTGTTACAGTTGCAAGTTCAACTGCTTGCAGCAGGTTGGGTGTGTGGCAAGTTAAAAAGCAGCAAGTTTCACTGACACGGTTTATGACCTTTATCAGAAGATGACTGTGCATGAGAACAGAGGTATTTATAAAATTATGCATGTAACACAGCACTGCTGCTCGGTTTTTCTTTGGTTCCTCAGAATTGAAGGACTGGCTTCAGATGTGCTGTACTGAAACTGATACCAAGTGACGGATTACTTCCACATAGAATAAATCCAACACATGTAAGAAAGCTAAAAATGTCAAATTGTACTTGACAGCTTACACAAACAGCGATAAGCACACATTCATGGCAACAACTGAAATCATGTTCATCACACAGTACCGCATCGCAAAAGAAGAAAAAAAAAACAAATCATTCGTGGACGGAGTTTCATATGAAATGTCAACCATCAGCAGTTCTCCAAAAAATTCATTCCAAAGTTGGTGATGGAATTTCAAACCTTGAACCATCCAGGAAAATATTAATCATTCAGATTTCATGACATTCGGTAATATCCCGTTGGACTTATTGGTCTGAGTCTTGGCAAATTGACAGAAATCCGTCCTTCGCTGATCCTTGGGACCTATTTATAGAGAAAGAATCCACATTAAAATTGGATAAAAATTTCAAATAAAGTGTAATTACGTGTGCGGGATTAACTGCTTGTGCCAAATTTGATTCTACTTCCGATGGCACAGCTTCTAGTCTGAAAAGAACTATCAGCAGCATGAACATTCCCTGGAGGGCATTTCCAATGGCTGAAGAAATCTCTGTTCCACGTGAGGCTATCATATAGAAGTAAATAGAAAAGAATTGTTTCAACTCCTCCAATATCTTATGGGATTTCCCATAGAATATAGTTGAACTTACGGAATAGTGTGTAAGATGTTGTCAAGGCCCAAGATAATCCCAGGATGAGGGTGAAAATGGCCAATGATGCTGCGTGAATTCTCAAAAACTTCATGTTCCTCACTGCACCATAGTCTTGGCCATTTGCGCGTGTGTTTTCTTGGGCCTTTCGGAGGAATCTCCTGCTTTGTTTCATGTCCATTTGAGCAAATAAGAGTGTGCTCATTGACATGAGGAAGGCGATCTGGGGAGAGTGTGAATGGCTTATGAAGTTATTTTCTGTTTGGAATGTCTGAGATTGCTCAAGCAATTGCCAATTAGGAACACTCATTGATTCTTCAGAATGAGCATAGAACTAATATGATATACAGTCAACCCCCGTCTAACGGACTTGATTTGTGCAAGGGACTAGTCTGTTAGACGAAAAGTCCTTTACACGAATTCAATTACGTAAAAATTTAAAATTTCTATTTTCAACACTAATTTTAAACCAAAAGAAGTCTGTTGGGTGGATTTTGTCTGTTGGGCGGGAGGAAAAACTGCTTGCAGAGCTGGTCTGTTTGGCAAAAATCCCTTACACGGGAGGTCTGTTAGGCAGGGGGCCACTGTATCTTACACTGGGACCCAATGCAACTTATAGGGACACTTGAAACTGAAAAAATGGCCCTCAAATTCTGAAAATATGATATGGACAACTTGCCAACACATATAGGAAAATGGGTATGATTCTTTTTTTCAATATTTGAATATCTTCTCAAAATGTTGAGCTCTCTATATTCACCAGAAATAATTTGTTTGGGTTTACTGTGATTCAGAATAAAAAACAGACTGTGTTGAGTTCATTTTTTTAGAGTTGTTTCCATTGATTGTGCATAGTATAGCATCACTTGGGCTTGTTTTTTTTTGTTTTCTGAGATCCTTGTAATGAAAAATATTACTTTCTGCATGGTTTATTCTGCACAAATTCTTTCCTTGATTTTGAAATTGAAAAAAATTTCAAATAATTTTTTGGGGATTTTCTTCAATTTTGATGAAGAAGAGACTCAACTGAATGAGTTCCCAATGAAGACTATGAGAAAGCTTGACCTGACATGCAGATGTTCTGACATAGAGGGACAAGGTCTTGAAGCCAATTATATCATATCTTGGGGCACCACTGTATGTAGTAATTTTTTCTAGAAGTTAAAAGGCTTGCAAATCATTCCTACAATAAAGATTACCAGCATAATTTTATCTGCCCAAATCAGCATTTTGGAACTATAGAAGTATGGAAGGGAAGGCAGTGATAATGTAGAACGCTTTCATGAATGATTCTTGATTGATGTATATACTGTACAATAACTTCAGCTTTTTGACTTGGATATGTCAATGGAACATGAAAGGAGACTATAGTAGAAAAGAAGCCAACTCAAAGAAAGCTGCCAAATTTTCCAGCAGCAAACAATAAACCATTCTTTGAAGTTAGAAAAACACTGCCTCTCACCACTGCAATCAGCTCAATTGGAATGGCAAACGTCATGGTCTGTTCATCTTCCAACCAGCATCTGAAATTTCATGAGATATCATTTGAAAAATTTTGGATTGACAATAAGGGAAAACTTGAAGTGTGACTCACAGGCTTTTGGAGCTATATGCTTTGCCAAGACTTGCAGCAGCAACAATCCCAACATAAACTGCTGGAACAGCATATGCACCCAATGCCAGTAATTTCTTCTTGGTTGGAGAAAGCTTTCTCCTCTCAGGCGACTTTGTGGANCCTCATCTGTTGAGTGTATAGCAAAACTCTGCCAGGGTAAATTTTGAAAAAAATTGAAAAAAATTGTCAAACTGGGCTGATTTTTTTTTTGTGCCAAAGAATATGGTTGCCCTAAAGAATAATTTTTTTCCAGCTCGATTAGACGCCATCTTCATTTTCATTCCGAGAACTTTTGTTAGAACCCTTGTATATATATATTATAAACACCCTTAGCATTCATTTAAATATTTCATTTTTTCCAGCCTTCAATATAGGGACTGGCACTTATTCACAATAGCTGAGACTGATGAAAAAGAGAAGAGGAGAAGATGAAGAAAAGGAGAATAGACCCTTGTGTTAAAAGTATGAAAACCCCCTTCTATGGCAACTAATCTTTCTTGGAAAATGAGACATGAATGCTTCAATCATCAAAGCTGGGAAAGTATTCCTTCCATCACCTCTTAAGAGAAATAAAATATTGAGAGAATTCTCGGAATTGTTCACCCCTCCCCCTCCTTGACCCAACAACTATTATAGGGACTAGCTAATGATTAGCTTCATGTTTTTTAGGCCTGAACATTATGAGAGACATGACTCTATCAGAGACACCAGGCATTTATCAGAGTAAATATGGCACATTTTTTTGCATTAGTCAGCTTAGTCATCCAAAATCACTTCAGATTACATTATGTGAATTGCAGTTCCTGGGGGGAAGGTTTTTTTTTAGAAGGACTTCTTACTGAGGACATTCAATTTGCTCATGATATTTTTTAGATGTACTGTATGTACTGTACCTTCTTGAAGCTCAGAAGGTTGAAGCTCTTGATGAGCAACCAAGCACCAGAGGTCATTTGGAAATAATGCAGCAGGACAGCTAATGCCAAACATCTTTTCTCAGTAGCCACCTCATCAATTCCCAGCATGAGTCCTTGTGCAGTGAGCAGAGTTAAGCAAAGGTTTACATTAACAACTTTGGTCCAAATGTTTCCTCCCAGGGTTTTGACAAAAACATATGCAGCTCCACTCATGACCAATGTGTACATTGACAATGCATTCCCAGCTATCAGCCACCAGGTCCGCAGGGTTTTGTGCTGTCAAGGACAGGAGCATAATTAGTTGAGAACATCACCCCCCCCCCCCAGAATAAAGTTTTGAAAGAGAAACATTTATGGAATGAAGTATGAAAATTTTTAAACATTTTTGTGCAATGGAAACAATGCCTTGCATTGCCAAAGGACTTTTCAAAATGGTGTGAACATATATTCTCAACTCAGGGTGTAAAAAATATGTACAAAGCACATCTGATTGTGTTTTAAAATTTGCTGGAATAATTGCTCTCTTTTTAAAGCCTGTTTGGCAATATTGAAGAATTTTTGGGTTTTTCCATTTCTACCCACCAGTTCAATTATTTATGAGGACTTCTAGTTACCACAATTATTTTCTTAGATACCACACCAACTCAATGACGTCACCCACCAAGATTTTTAAAAGAAAATTTGAAAAAAAACTGTCCCTGACTAATACATATGAGACATGCCATTCTCCTCTCACATCCAAGAGCAAAATTTTTACATTAATGTATAATTGTTCAGATGTTACTGAATACAGTGTTTTAGTATCAAATACATGTTGAACTTGAGAATTATAAATGCTTGAAACTAATTGAATCCAACTTTATATATAATTCTGAATTTATTTTTTCTTAATTTCATGCACTTCAGCTATTCCATTTCAAAGATTCAGCCAAAAAGTTTAGCTTAAGTATAAAATTGCAATGATAGCAGTGCATTGAATCAGGAAAGAATGGCACAGAATTTTTATTCTGAATCTCACCTTTTTATTCTGAATTTTACCTTTTTATTCCAGTGATTATGATATTTGCATATGTTCAGAGGTTTCATATCACTAATAAATGTTAGTATTTTGCATGAACCAGGAAGTAAAAAAAATATTGTATAGCTTTCACCTGCTGCTAACTTTCAAAGACTCTTGTTTACTCTCTATGTTTCCTCATACACCACATTCTGAAAGTTCAACGCATTTTTTCCAATCACTGTTCAAAAAAAATGCATTGCTTTATTCCTATATAACTGCTATGATAGTTTGAAAACAGTTTCAACAGCTCAAATTTTTGTATCTTCAATGCATGTTGCAAAACTATGCAGCACATATTAATGGTAAACATGAGGTTAATATCTTATACAGTATTCACACCACATCAATAGGCAGTATAATGGACTCCCTCAAAGCACTTGTGAACCCATAGAATAGACTGTTCAAACAGACACATCATGATCATTGATCCCATGAAACTCACCTCAGGTTGGAGTCTAACGAAGTTTATTCCCACAGCAAAATTGGTCAGATGACTGCAAGAGCAGTCCACATTTTCATCATCTACCACAATTGTTTGACATCCACTGGATGACCAGGCTGCTTCAGTAGTGTCCCAAAACACACAATTTATGGAATCTTCTTCATCCTTGGCAATGAAGGGCTGAATTACTTTGAAGGACATCTTCACTGCATCTTTGGAAATCATTGAGGACTGTTTCTTCCCACTAGTGGCCAGCTGAGCACCCATCACAAGTGTGTTGAGCGACTGAGATCTACCATCAGCAGATTTTCTATGGATAAAATGGATATCACTATTAGTTTTATGTTCAAGAGTATATACTTGGTTTAGTTTTTGAAGTGTAAATAGATTGGATACAGCATCACCCAAGCACCTTCTTTTTTATGCCTGGCATTCCACCAGCACAGTTGTGAGCTTCAAAAAGAGTTCAGTTTTTTAAAACTTGAAAAAGGTCCTTTATTCAACCTTGGAGGACCAAACAGTTTTAGCTGTATTTGATGTACCTTCAAAGATTATCTTCAAATTGTGAAATCAATGATTGAAACTTATCTGGGAACAGGCTGAACACCTTTTGCTCTAATTTATAATTTGTGCTTGCATGGGAATTGCCTTGAGCTGTGATTATTATTCATATTTTCTTTGATTTTTCTGGATCAGAAAGCCTTTTATTCATCCATCCCTAATCTTCAAGCATTATTTCTATGTTCTGTTATGTATTTTTGCTGAATACCCATAGCATATGATGTTTTCACTCTTGATGATTTTCATGCTTATTTTTTCCTTTCATCTATACTGGAATGTCTTTGAATGATGTGAATGAAGAGATAAGGGTTTTGGAGGATGGAACGTTGGAAACAATTTTTGAAATGTTTATACAATGACAAGCAGCAAATGAAGCTTGTTTGTCTATCTGTCTACAGGTGGTGCCCTACAGTGCAACCATAATCTGTTGCTGGGCAAGGGTCAAAATGCAAAGCCATCAAATTGTGAGACAATGTTAAATTCAACGTTCTCTACATCAAATTTGACATTTTGAGTCTTTGTGCAGGTAAAATTGTTGGGCAAGATGCTGAATTGTGAGTGGACATCACAGCTACTTCAACTGTCAAATTGTGGGATGGTCAAATTGCAAGATGCCAAATTGCAAGGTACCGCCTGTACTAGTATAGTCAAGCCTCATCAAAACACCCCCTGATAAAGCAGTACACTTGGCAACCACAAATATTTTGACTGAACCAAATCTCCTCTATGTGAAATGCCATAGAAAACCTTTATAAGACACCAACTGCCATTTGCTATCATTAGTGATGGAACAAAAGAGCATTTTTCCATGAGTTTTGTCCCGGTTATAATCCAACATTGGCGTAGAATTATGATTTCTGTCAAGGATCTTGTATTTATGAGAAGAAGAAAATTATGTGCATTTTTTGAAAACTTTGAAGAAAAATTTTAATAAATTGATGCAGCAAAATTATTTTCTGAAAGATTAACCCATTAATCACAGCAATACTCTGGAAAATTACTGAAGTTTCCAGAAGATGCTGTATTTATGTTCCTTTGGGAGGAAAATTGAGTATTTTTGATTGATTAATTTCTAACTAAAATACCCCAGAAACTGCCAACCCCTCTGAAGTGCAAAATATGCTCCTAAAATAGTGGCGTCTTATTGGGGTTTGACTGAATTGCTTCTCTGCTTCAGGGTTGTGCTTCATAAAATTGAACTCACTCATTTGGCTTCAGAAGTTTTTGCATGTCCTTGAACCCATGGAAAGATATCTTGATAGACTTTTCAGTATTTTCCACATTATCTAAGATCCAATCACTCATTATTTGAATTGAAGCATTTCCATTTGAAAAGGAAGTTTCTGTTTGATCCAGCTTGAAAAATACTCCATCCCTGGGGAGGTTCCTCAGCACCAAATCTGTATGAAAAAAATAAATAAATAGATTCACAACAATAAAAAACGCATCATAATATTAATGGCATACCATGAGAGACTTCAGAGTGCTTGACTTCTTCTCCAAAACGTAGGTATTGTAATAAGGAGGCACTGGCACTTTCTAATTGAATCAGGATTTGATTCCCAGCTCTTGATCTCAAATTGTATTCTGCACTTTGCAATTTTACTGGATTCTTCAGAGAAGCTCCAACAAGAGAACTGAGAGACTCCAAATATTTTCTTGAAATTGTGGATTTCTCCTCATCTGATTGAGCAGATTGGAGGAGGTTTTCCTGCCTTGACCCACTTAGTTCAAAAAATGTT